TAGTGGTACTGCTTTTTAATTTTAGAAAGAGCAAATCTGCTTGTGGATTATAAAAAATTAGTAAGACCGCTAAAGCGCAAATGAAATATTTAGGTCCACAATTAGCGGATTTGTGCTTTAGTGGGCTGGTGCCCACCACTGGCGTAAACAGAGGACTGTAAATGAATCTGTGTGTTTCCAGTTTGTGGCACCCACCTTCAGGTCTCGCTGTCTGGCATGCTCCATGTCCTGCATGGAGCTGCGGTGGACTTCCTGCAGACGGTGCTGCCGCCTCTGATGCTCCGTCTGCAGCTCGTCCAGCTGCATCCTCAGGTGCTCGCGCTCCTGGCTGAACTGGTGCTGCAGCTGCTGCAGGGACGACTGCGACTGAGACAGCTGCATCTCCAGGCTCTGCTTCAGCAGGGAGATCTGCGCAGCAACGGGGGAGAGAATAAAYATTAAAGTGATTAAGCCAGTGAGCCATGTTTGCAAACTAAAAGAAGAGGACGAAAGGTTCAGAAAGTGTAAGAATGTTTACGCTGCAGAATAACAAGAGAGAGCAGACGAGGGCCAGCAAGCAGTTAGCTTAAAACAAATATTCCTTCAAGCCTCAAGAGAAAAAGCTTTTAGGTTTATGCAAATAACTTGCAGTTCATTACAGCAAATAAAGTAATGCTGCAACGCAATAAACAGAAYTCCATTATTGGGAGGGTGTTATGACTCACTATGAGTTTTGTCTAGACAGTTTGCTGAATGGATCCTCGTCTGAGAATGAGCAGAAGTCTGAACTAGAAAATATAAAACTATGAAGTTTAAAGAGTCACGTTTACTGATGAGCAAACAAAACTTTAAAACTGTTCAAAAGTGTTGTGTYAAGATCACTGAACAAAAACACTAAAAGGAGCATAAAAAGCTACACATACACAGAGAAGCTAATGCTGTTAGCTGCTTTGCTACTTTTAGTTTTCACCTAGCCTTTTGATGCCTTTAGCTGCTTTGCTACTTTTAGCTAACCATTTTAGCTATTACTTAGTCTTAGCCTTTAGCCCTTAACCTTTTGATAATTTTTGCTCATTTTAGCTAGCCTTTTGCTGCTTTGCTTCTTTTAAAGTAAGTCTAGTATGTTGCTTCTTAGCTTTTAGCTAGTGCTTTGCTTGTATGGACTGGTCCTTTGCTACCCATAGCCTTTTGGTAGCTTTTTGCTACTTTAATTTGGCCTTTTGCTGCATTAAGCTTCTAGTTAATATATTTTTTCTCATAGCTTTTAGAGTTTTGGTGCTTTAGATACTTTTWAGGCTGCTAGCTAGTATACGGTTACTTTTAGCTCTTAGCTAGTGTTTTGCTCCATTCAGCTAGCCTTTTGTTCTCCTCGGCCTCTTAATAGCTTTTTGCTAATTTTAGCTAGTCATTTGCAGCTTTTTGCTTCTAGCTAGTTTATTGTTACTCTTTGCTTTCAGCTATTATTTTGTTCCTTTTGGTTAGCCCTTTGCTACCCTTAAACTGTTGATAGTTTTTGCTACTTTTAATTAGCATTTCGCTGCTTTTAAGTTCTAGCTAGTACATTTTTACTATTAGCATTTAGCTAGTGTTTTGCTGCATTCAYCTTTAATCCAGCATTTTGCTTCTTTAAACTGCAACAATTCAGTTTCAGCTCCTTCAGCAGATTTTAGCTGCTGCTCACTATGTTCTGAGAAAATATAATTTCTTTATTTGTTATAATTTAGTTGTGTTTCCATGTTTAAAATTGATTTGTATTATCTGCGCTTAAACAACTGCTTATTGTTTCATTATGAATGTATTAAGTG